AGTGGTGGTGGATCTGGCCCAAAAGGAGCTAGAGAAGTATGGGATAACGGGTTGGTAGCTGTCCTTTCACATGGACGCCGAGAGCAACGTCAAGCGGGTTATTAGGGCGGAGCTGGCAGCACATGAGGTTGGGGAGCAGCTCAGAGGCGGCCTGGCAGATTGGTCACATTGTGCCTGCCATGTGCTCCACAATGTTATAACCCATGGCCTGACCCACCTATGCATCTACGCCCAATTCAATGAAGGTTGCCAGAAGCTGTGCGATGCAATAAACTGGTAAGTTATGTTATTGGTGTGTCTTTGTGTGTGCGCTATTGTGTGTGCATGCATGTTGGTGGTTATTCATGTGTACTGCAAGTGCTGCAATTGCTGTTGCTTACACTAGGAAAAAAAGGGCCAAATAACACGTGTTCAAACGTGTACAAAGTTTACGTATTTGTGTTATTTTTGTGTTCTTAGTGTGTAAAACTATGACGAAATGTGTTTTATATGTGTTCGGAAAAGTGTTATTTGACCCTTTTTTCCTAGTGTTAGGAATTGTTCATCAACAATATGCATGTGTCCTTACTATGGTAGGGTCTCTTCACTGGTCAACCACATGTGTGCCAGGTTGGCATGCATGTGGTTGACCAGCAAGGTGGGCCTGCTATTGTAAGGCCACATCTACACTGCCAGTGCAAAAGCCACAATTGAGTTGTGCAGGCTGCGAGTGCAAATAATGTTACTATGTGTGCATGCATGTTGGTGGTGATTCGTGTATGATGCAACTACTATAGTTGCTACTGCTTAGGAGTTGTTTAATCAATAATGTGCATGTGTCCTTACAATGGCAGGGTGGCATGGTTTTTGGCTCGATGTGCGGGCGATGTGCCCGCCGTGGCGCCCAATCCGGCCAGAATGGCCTCCTCCGCTGAATGACAGCGGGCGGTCCGGGGCGCTCGCTCTTTTAGGGTGCACAGTGTGGGCCTAGTCCTGCGATCAGCCGGGCATAGGGCGGCAGTGCACGCAGTGAGTGCGCGATGCCGGTGCGGCCTGCGGGTGCAGCCGTGCGGCGGCAAGTGGTCAGCAAGAGTTACAACCGTTGGGTATCGAGGCCACTCTTTGACGTGCCCCGCATCACGTGACAATGCAGCCAACGTCACCGTATCGATAGTATCTCATCTCCCAATACGGCTGTGGAGGCATCTTTAAGTACTGTAATTTCTAATAGCTATATCTCCACTACCGCTAACCCAAATGAAGTGATTCAAGAACCTATGGGTTCCTAGTAAGCTCCACTAAAGATGAGATTATCCATTAACATTCATTGCACCTCCCAAATACCCATAACCAAAGAAACACACTACCCCCTGTGCTTTACACCATAGTACTCCCCCCTGGGGGTAGTTTTGCCCTCAAAACATCAGGCTAATCAATGGCCTTAATTATCCTCTATTGGTCTGTCCCTCTTGGTCATTTTCTTGAGCTCCTCTTGGTAGGTAAAGTTCTCCTCAAGAGTCCAAGTGGCATCATCCAACGAATAGTCCTTCCAAAGGGCCAAATACTCCTTTGCCGCTTGGTACTGGGACCGGTCCACAGCCAACGCAGTAATCTCTCAATGTCGTATGGCTCATCATCCTCGGGCTCAATATCCTCCACCTGACTAGATGTAGTGGGTTGCGTCCATGAACTGGTTTTGAAAGGATGCAACAAACTGATGTAGAACACATTATGTATCTTCCATGTTTTTGGAAGATCAAGTTCGTAGGCCACTTGTCCCACCGCACGGACAATGAAGAATGGGCCAACGAGCCTCTTCTTCAGCTTGCAGATTGGTGCATTCTTCTAGTTGAGGTGCTCTGTTGAGAGCAGCACCTGATCCCCACTACTGAACCGCTGTTCTCTTCTCTTCCGGTCGGCTTGTGCCTTCATTGCGATCTTGAGCCCGGTTCAGAAACTTGACTGCCATTGAGAAATTCCTCTTCATCCGTTCTACGAATTGGTTGACTCCCTCAATGAGAGCAGAGTCACTGTCATGGATGAGATCTGCCGGAGTACACGGATGGAAGCCGTAGTTCAAGTAGAACGACTGTCTAGATTTATATGTAAATCTGAATCCCGGGGGCAGTACACGCATTGATGGCCCCTTGTCAAAACCAGGGGGAAGTACCGGTATCGGAGGGTTCTCGTCACAGCCATCACACGTCGCATCTGAATTGGGTTTCCTCTTACAAAAGCTCCATCGCCACACGCGCCTCTCGGCTCTCGCCTCCACGTGGGTCTGGGCTGGATTGCCCATGTTGATCTGTGCTGCCACCTCGCGACATGCGGCATCATAAGCGGCGTTGCGCCGTACATCCGCATCTGGTGGTTTGTTGGTCGCAAAGTTGCGGTACTCGTGGGGAATCTCCTGGTTGAAGTCAGAGGGCAAAGTACGTGCGAAAGCATGTCGGTCACAACCACATCCCTCGAGCCTCCATCCCCGTCGGTCAGCAAAGCGGTACAACAATCTCCGCATATACTTCGATCTCCCAGCACTCAAAGTCAAACAGGCACCCATTCCCTTCCAGTGTGCAGACCCCTTCCCGCTCTAGCGTGTCCCTGAAACGCAGCTGGAAGGCAGAAACCCCCATGCCATTGTACGGCTCCGTCTCCTGGACCTTCACCTCCAGCTCCCATTCGCGCTGAATCGCGTTGGGATCGTACGCCTCGTTCCATAGAGAGGGTTCACCCACACCCAGCACATAGGTTCCGTCCACCTGCGTGGAGGCATTCTGCAGATGTGCATCTCTGGCCAGTTCCTGCAGTTCAGCCCGCTCCCTGTCCCTCCACCGTTCACGCAGGATCCAGGTAGCGTCTTCCTCGCTGAAGGGAACCTTAACAGCTATCAGAAATGCCCAGAATCTGACGGGTGCATCTACGCCATTCAACGCCCAGCGGCACAGGCGGAGATGACCGACTGCGAGCCATTGGGCGATGAAGAACTTCCATGCCTCAACCTGACGGAAGCGGCCGGCTGCCATGGCGCACAGGGGCTCACGACACAGCGGTTGAGGGTTGGCTGTCAATGGGTTGGCGCGCAACGCCAGCCCCAGCCTGTATATATCTTCTTGGACCATGCACTGATGTCGAACAGGTCCTGGACCTGATGCGACGCTGTTACGGTTCCAGCTAGGCAGACGGCTTACAGCATTTGGTGCAAATTTCCACCCAGTGCAGGTGGTTCGTCTGACGGCTCAATAGGACGATTTCGGCAGCTGTCTTGGTGCATGGTTATCCTAGTTCTTCCTTGTAATCCTTCCGAATGACTTCAGTACGTTCCTTGTATATTCCAAACATACTGAACCCCAGTAGTTATTGATGTTGTTGATCCCTTCTTGTCTAGAATCTCGATCCCTTCAGTTCACAACATTATTGTATGCGGTAATCACCCATCATCAGGCAGTTCATCCACTGCGGCTGTGCTTGCTTTTGATTCCCTGAGATGCAATCTTGTGAAACTGGTCGCCGTAATCTGTCTCATGTAGCCTCTAATGAAGTTGATGAAGTCATTTGCCGCTTGATAATTGACTGGAAATGGCCAACTTTAGCAATGCCTGAATGGAACTTGCGTCCCTCGCCGTTTACCTCCGTAAAAAGAGTGACCTTCGACGGCATAGATGCAAGCTTGCTGCTCGGCTACGTGATGTGCAACAAGCCGTAGGGCCCAACCTCACAAGCAAGGACGCCCATATTGACACGTTAATCCACAGGAACACATGCACGGTGCATGATGCACCCGCCAGACATGAAGCACGCGTCCGACATGTTCAGTGTACGGTGTGGCAGGCACAGCGGGGTGGGCTGCGCACCTCGCCAAGGCGAGAATGCACGAGACAGCCGTGCTGAGAGCATGGCGCTTCATTCACATATTCAACTGCACAGGTCCGATTCAAGAGTGACAATGGCAAGCACTGGCCTGTCTTTATGGACCGTGGGCGCAGCGGTGCAGGCAGGGAGCCGGGCCAGCAACTACAAGATAGCAATGCGTGCACTGCCGCTTGCCCATTTCGTTGTCACCGAAGCCTTGGACAACGTGGTATCTGGCGGGCACCCTAGTATCTGCGCGGGCTTCATTCGAGTGTGGCTGACAGCGTCGCGAGGGACCTAGCCACCTTACGGAGCAATGGGTTCAGCACCCTGACGTCGGCGTCCGACATGCAGATCCGAAGGAATAACATGACCGACGAGGGATTGAGAGAGCCTCGCCAAGGTCACGACACAATTCCGATGACTGCTGCTGCTTTCAAAGATCGAAATAGCCCAGTCACGGAGTGAAAGCGACGGGAAACAACGCTGTGACACGAACGCAATGTTCTTGTGCGCGTGCCTAATGCAGGCTGGGAGCTTGCTGAGCGTCGTGCCTTTGTACCGACATTTGCCAACTTCCCATGTGCAGTGTCCACAGAAATATGCCATCCCAAACCGGCCCCCGAAGAAAGAAAAGCCGTGCACTCCTCCAAGTTGGACGTCCCGACGACATCGCCGTGATGCCATCATTGCCAGCACAGGTGCTGGTACCCGTGATCACTGACACGGCCACAATGGACGACGGGTGTGCCGATAAATGGGCATGCATCTGTAGGTTTCGCCCACTTTTGCACATTTCCAACCCGTGCTTAGTTTAATGCATATTCAAAATTGCAGAGAACTGTATGTTAGATATGTTCCATGATACAAAATAGCGTGACCGCCGCCGAGCATTTTCGGCAAAATCTTCAGCAGTGCTGCAAATTCAGCGCACGCCATAGCGAAGTCGCTACGCCCGCCCGCTTCCGCTATCCAAGCCCTGGTTGTGAGCCACCCGGGATTGCAAATGTACAACCCGCTTTGCCAAATCCACACGACTAGAATGCAAAAGACAGAGTTCACTCATTAGAATTAACGCATTCGGGGGGCCATTCATCACCAGCATTCTGGCTGCGGGTCGTCCAGCGAGCCATCCTTGGTCGTAGATTTGCCATCAGCCGCCTCCGCCCGTCCTATTTTGCCGAAGGGGCAAAGAACATATCTGTCGTGTTCTGCCACACGGTCTCCGACAACAGCACCTCATCCTGTCCCATCACCGCGGCGACGGCTTCCATCACTTGCCTGTCACGTCACGTGCACCTCGTAAGCGGGCACAGGCCACTGAACGTGACCACTGCAGTGGCATGAAACTGTCGGCTTCGACAACCTTCGTTCCTAAGGAACAAGGCTTGACTGAACTGGGTGAATTGCTGAGACTGCTGCTACAGAGTCTGTAGCGAAATATTGTGGAAACGACCATGGAGGAATGCACTGGCCTCGCGGTGCACGGTTTGCCGCTGCCTTTTGCCATGCAAGACGGTCTCCTCTTCACTGTAGTTAGGACTGATCTATACCTGATATTTGTTGTAACAAAACTAGAAAATTGGAACTATAAGTATTGATAGATTCTGGTGCTGTGAGCATGCTCATCTTAGGGAAGACACTATGTCAAAACTGTTGCGCTTAGCGTCAATTTGACGCTAAGGGGGGCGGGGGGGGGGGCTGTGATGCTAAGAGGTTATGTAATTGCAAGAAAATCGACATAAGCTTCGAAGATAGCCAAAAAGATGCTGAAAAGTGGCAACAAACGTATGACTTGTCTCAACACTTTCCTTTGGCGTTCAGTCTTCACAAAAAGCCCCATAAAATCTCGACTGGCAGCTTCCAAAAGGGGCCCCCATCATCTGCTATGGCATTTGCATCTCAGTTTTCAGCCCACCAAAATTAATTGGCACCACTCCATTATGTAATGATTCCGAGTCATCCTGCCTTCGACTTAAAAATTGACGCTGGGGTGGGTTGGGGTCTGATCTTAACGTCAAATTGGCGCTACAAATCGACATAGTCTCTTCCCTTAGCAAGGCGGAAACTGCCATTAGCCAGCTGATACGAGGCCCCTTACAGCTGGGAGCATGTCCACCATTCCTGCAAGTCAGTTCAAGAGGCATGTGCTTCCTTTCGGTTTCAGAGTCGCTGCGTGACATACAGTCATGATGGAAAATGCGGGAACATTAATGGGCGCAGTGCAGCGCTGGATGTAAGCGAGGATCGATCGACTGCCTTGCGTCGCCATTGCAAACGCCACGCAGACTTTATGCAGCCTGAGGTCATGCAGGCTGCATGCGGAACAATATATACAGAAACCCTGCAACGTAGCACTATTCTATGTACCGATATGCATGCAGAATCCATGCACCGAGATCCCAATTAACTCCAAGCGCGTTGGGAGCTGCTCGCTACATGAAACACGGCCTTTGCTAGACTCCTCAAAACGTGTTCCATCATCTGGAAAATCAGTAACTGTTGCTGCAACATTATAGCTGCATTGCCATTGATGCATTGGCGAGCATGCTTCAGCAAATGCCCATAGTCAATATTTACAAGTGTTGATGTGTGTGCGAACGTTGCATCAACGCTGATACACTGGCTGTGCTGCAGTGTTGTTCCAAGTTGCGTCAACGATGCTCCACACACAATATTGCATCAAAGCCTACCGATTTTCCAGACGATGTAGGTGGAACGCAGCGCGACCCGTCATAGTTTCATGCAATGCGGTCTTTGCGCACTGAGCGGGAGAGTATATGTGCGGGGCGATCACTCCAATCAGTCTCCAACAGGAAGCACATCAAACGTGCGGTTGTCCCGTTCCCTACACTCAGCAGTTTTATAATGAAGTAAACTACGAACCAGAATTTCACCCTATTGCATCAAGGTACGCTCGCCAACCCACCTCACTGTGCACGGCTCGTTCCTTCCCTTCACCATGCACGACCCGCTGTGCTTCCTCTTGTCTTTGGCTTCAAACGCGGTTCGAACCAGTGGCTTGCTCGCGTGTGTCGATCGGATGTCACAGCACGGGCAGTCGGTCTCCACCATTAAGCGGTCGGCGGGGATGCGCGCCACGACGGCCAAGTTGTCCGCAGTCTTCATCGAGCAGCCGTTCACTCCTGGCGGGCACAATCTGCATGGTTGCAGCTCCCAGCGCCCGGGAAGTCACAGCCTTCAGGCCAGCTGGCGCCGGTGCACGAGGAGACCAACAGGTTGGCTCGGGGTACAGAAATTGTTGCCTGTAGAAAGCCGTTTACAGGAGTACGACCAGAACCGTTTATAGCACTGCAACTACGTTTCAAAAGAGTTTCTGGCAATACGGTTTTGGTCAATGTATACTGAATAAGCAGGACCAGGAATCGTGTGAAGTGACATTTCCTAGTATGACGTGGGACGTTCAGTCATCGCGGACACAAACAACGATTGCAGGCTGCCTTGCGGAGTCACTGAACCATTCACAGGCGCGCACTGGCTGAGGAAAGGTACCTGCGGGTCTGCCAATTGGTTCCTTCCTGATGCATGGCACAGTGCCGACACATATCAAGGCAATTCATCACGGGCTGCACATGTTCCCAGGATGTGCGTTACAGTGGTCGTATGGCCTTCCTGTTCGACCCGCTGTCATAATCGTCGTCGCTTCACTTTGTGCACTTACGACTGTGCCAGTGAGGGACCTCCGTGGCAAACATGAGGCTCGTTACCTGGGATGGGTCCACAAAGCCCCCCATTGGCGACAACAAGATTTGCTTTCTTACATGGGAGTCACTCTTTGAAAGGGTTTGCTTCCTGCTTCACATCCGTCGCTGCCAGGAAATTTGAAAACTTCGACTTGCAACGAAGCAGGCTGTGATCCAGAATGGCGAGCAACAATAACGGCAAACAATAAATTGCCATTGATAATAAATTGCTGTTATGATAACCACGGCGAATGCCCTGCTGGTTCTCATGACATCAGCTCACCTATGGCCACGTTGTCGATCTGCAGGAGGTCGCTCGGCTCATCGTCTGTCCCTGTGAATGAATGCATCACGCCCCCATTGAAACTGCCAACGTTCTGCGACGCAATTGGACAAGCGCCGAAAAGTGAGTTCCCGCTGCTGCCGTGGGTGGGGATGTTTGTTTGAACTGAACACGAAACTGAGCAATGATAGGAAACGGGCAGGGAGTAGATCAGCAGCATCGGAACAGCAGGAGAACGGTCCGGGAGACATCGGCAACGCGTTGAAGGCTGTGCTATGTTGCAATTCGCGATGACCGCATTCATCAGAGCAAGGCAATTGCCGCCTTTGCCTCGATTACGTGATGCCATGCGCTTCTCGAAGTCCATGGGTGCGAGCTTCGCGGTGCGCTGTTGAGCTCGAAAAGCGGCAAAGCGTGTTCATTCTGGTTGAAGGCCAGCCCACGGATAAGGGGACGGATCGCCGCATGGTGCTCCAATGCTCCACTCGGCTTACGACGACTCAAACAATGCTGCCAAAATACTTGCAGAGACCTGCCAATTCTGCTTGCCACAATGCCCGAGACAGTTTTTGTGTGGGGCGTGAAAGCCCGCACCCACCTCTTTGAGAATTCTAACAAAATCTGCGGCGGCGGCCCTCATGTGAAGAAACCTGAAACACCATTTACAACGCATGCATTTTCGCTGAACGTCCGTATTTGCTAGGGGCAACTCGCAGGCGCCCTCACATAGGCTGTAAAATGGCACCACCACACCCACTTCACGGGTTGTATCGGGCCACCTATGGGGGGTCCAAGGGACCTCTTTCGTGCGTTCGTGACCTGAACCACTGCCTGCTTCATCCCAAAACAAACAACAGAATCGCAGCGAATTAAAAGGCCTCAGCACTCCATACATCGAGTACGCAATGTCGTGAGCGCACCATTCTCTGCATGATTAGTTGATGTGTTGATCACTGGCACCGGTTGTGTGCTGCGTGCCTTCTCCTAATAAGCGTTCCATGTCTACAGGCGGTAAGGACAATGTGCATCGAGAATGTGTGAACAAACAGCGAAATGCCGCAGGCAGAAAATTGCCCATTTCATGCAGTTTCTAACCATGTTGCAATGTGTTGAGCTAGTGAAGATCGTATATTTGAAGTTTAAAACGCTCTAAAGTGACGCCAAATCGTGCAGTTGTAACCATATTTTTGTTGCAAAGTTTCAATATTGCACAGCGCCGTCATCTCGAACGTGCAAGGGCGTCGCTGCTGAAAGTGTTTCCATCTGCGATTGACCAATTCATATCACACGGTTTTCTGCAATCTGCATATCTTCGCGCAGTATCTGAATTACGAGCCTTGTCAAATTGTTTGATTGGAAGTCAGAGTTTAACATGATCCCGTCATCAGATCATCTGCCATATCATGATGACGTGATATGGGATAATTCAATGGGACAATGCACGGTTCGACAAGAACGCCAATAGTTTGTTGATTTACAACATTCAAACAACAGCAGATTCGTTCAGCTCAACAACCACAGCAAGAGCCCCAACATGCACAGCTTGTTCCGCACGAGGGTAACAGCAACATTGCCATCCCGTAGCAGAGCGATGGCACAATTGGCAGAGAATCTAAACAGATTCTTGTACGTTACTATTTGCGATATTTGAGTCAGGAACTTGCGTGGAAATTTACACGCCATGAAAAGAAAACTCACATGGGGAGCTGCGTCTCTTCCGCAAGCTTGAACTGAGCCGCAAAGAATCGCTGTTGGACTTCCATCTCACAAAAATGGAGGCGATCATAATCTGCAGCCAAACATCGTGGCAGCCAAGCTGGGTGTCAAATTCCCAAAACTGACGAATGCAAGGAATGCTGCCTTGCAAGGCCCAACGCCCTCTTAATTGTGACGCTGTGAATGCAGAAAAAACATAAATGGTCTGCATGACAACACCCCGGACATCGGTGCTTCTGAGGCACGGTGGAACAGATGCTAACGTTTTGCAATGTGACGTGAACAACAACATTCACCAAAGTAGACAGCGCCAATTCACCATGTTGGTGCGCAAGGCACTGGGCGAACATAGCTGTAGCGCATTATGTCCCATTTCAGCGCTCTCTTGTACATTTCAGAACCACGCAATGTCTTGAATCAACTCAAGACAAGGCACTGAGGCCATTGCGCCGTCTCAGCCACGCTGCATTCCGGGATGGCCACCCAAAGCCGTGGAATCTCAGCCAAGCCACGTAATCTGATTGCCAACATCTTGTCGTTCCCCGTCTTGGATGCATGCATTCCAGTACTCCACAATGTACTCTACTATGCACTCCATTCAATGCAGGCTACTCAAAGCCGCGGCTTGCCAAGCCACCTCACCCAGACCGCACTCTCCAATGGCCACCACTTTGCCCTCTTTCATCCCCTCCCGCGTGATGGCCAAGAGGGCATCCCTGTAGGCATCAGCGCCGTCGGCGTGGGACAAGAATTCGCCACAGCGCGTGGGATGCACCCCCACCGTGCAGAATAGGAGATCTACGTGCATTTGCGCACTTGGTCAAATATGGCAGTGCTTAAATTTTCCAACGCCGGTCACTGTTCATTGCAAGACAAATATGTACATGTACTGACAGGCATGACACAACGTTGATATGCTAATAGCCATGACCACTTCAACCAGGCGACTTGCACGCAATGCTGAACAATGTATTCATTTGGCTAATTAATTGGATGCCTTGCTGTAGTTGCTGTGGTGAATTGCGATTTGATGCTGAACAAACCAGCAGTACCCATGCACGTTGTCGCCCTTTTCTGCGCAGCATTTTCTCAACGCAGAATTTACAAGTTTAAATGTTCAATGGAACAACACAACTGTTCATCAGCACAGACAATAACACATGCGTGGGTTACGCTCTAGATCTGTCTTGTGCTAGAGATTCAAATGAATACTGTGTTGCAACTTATTCGTATTTATGTGTATAGTGCTGTATGCTGCAAGCACATTGTGCTGATGTCATATGACAAGGGATATGGGACGCATGTCAGCTGGAATGCACCAAAAATGGGACTGTACGACAGGCTGCAATCACCAGTCGACAGAACACAAAGGTGGAGCACAGGGATTTCATGCATCAGCATAGTTGTGATGAGATGCACCATAGACAGTCTTCGAGCACCCTGAAAGCCCCATAACAACAATTGCAAATGTGATGGAGACACGACCACACCCACACATTTGTTTATAAACATCCGGAATGGTCATTTAAATAAAATGCATGCAACATCAGAGAAGTAGAAATAGTTGGGAGCATAGCTGGGAGACTATGGCTGGCATTTCAATCAGTTGGCAGAGCCAAGTCCACAAACCCAGCTAGCCAGCAGTAAACATTGATAGTAGTTTAGTGTATGCAGTGTAGTGTATGTAGTGTAGTGTATGTAGTGTAGTGTATGTAGTGTAGTGTGTGTAGTGCAGTGTGTGCGGTGTAGTCTGTGCAGTGTAGTGCATGCAGTATCTCCAACCGCCTCAAATGCACGAGGACAACCTGCTGCCATGTGTGCCAAATGCGATCGAAGCAAGTTCTCCGGCAGCCTGAGAACGTTACCTTAGCCAGCGAATGATGACGTACCATCCGTCCTTGCGAGGTCAAGAGCCTCACGAGCCATCGACAGGTTTCCAGCCGTGATGATGATCATTTCAACACCTGTGAAGAGATGAGCTTGCCGCTCAAAATCCTTACATTACATTCAAGACTTTGTCCCCAGTACTGTTTCCTGTGTGTTCCCTTCCAGAGCACCACTTACACTAGCCCACAAAGTGCCAAATACGCAAAGCAAGCAGGCTGTGAATGGACAACTATGAATGCAATTTCCAAAGCACTCGTTGCACAGACATATCGAAAGCACCAGTTGAGTGAAATTATACTCTAAAAGGAAACAGAGCAGCCGTGGTGGAGCACCATAATGCCACGCACACGTTTGAGGGCAGTGGGCACACAAGGGCAAACCTTCCACACAATCTTGTTGATATGACAATGCAGGGGGCATTCCATTTTGTTTTTTTGCTGAGGAATCAGGCAGGTTGCAATAAGGAAACCAAAAGACAAACAGTAAGAAAAATGCATTTCTTCCCTTGGAAATTGCGTATGCTGTGTTGTCAACTTTCAGCAACACGTGGAAAACACTTGAATTAACACTAGAGGACACAGGGACAGCTGCCAAGACAGTCATTGTGAGCGACCCACTGCCCAACGGCAACAAGAGCAGCATCATCTCATATTTTGATAAACATGCTCCAAGGCAAACAGGGAAGAAAATTGAACTTGAACAGGAGCAGAAGAAGTCCCGAAGATTCCCACCTGCCTCTCCTGCCCTGCCCAGCACGCTGTTCAAGTCCGGGGGGTGCACTTGCTTGCCATGGTACTCGCCTTTGTACATTTCATCTGTCAAGTTTGCTGCTATGTCTGCCAACAAAAGTATGTGCTCTCAGTCCTTCGATTTTACCAAAAACATGACAAATCAACGCCATATCATTGCTATGACAAGGGGGCGAGCTGCTGGTCATGGCATCCCAGCAACAGAAGCAGGGCACCTGAAACTCTTACATGGGGTGCCATCATAGTATTATACCTGTGCGGTGGAACACTTGGGAATGAAAAAAACAAAAGAGGCACAAGAAAGAAAAGAGCAGTTCGTTCTGTGCAAGCTCATCCACCTACAGACGTCTTTGAGCGTATTCAAGGCATGATTGCAATTTGTGCAGCACCAACGCCCTTGTAAACATGGAACTTTCCTCTCATGTCTCTCACAGTTTCTGGGCTACCGTGTGCCCTTAACGTCGTGGACTGGTGATTGTGTGCCATTGGGGTGAGCAAACACATGTTGTTGGCACACACACATGCTCAACATCGCCAACAAGGCAACAGAGACCTGCATTACCATGGTGAGGCAATCAAACACACAATGGATTTTCACAGGATTCTGTGGCCCAATAAACTGCAGTTGGGGCATTGGGTACAGAACAGGCTCACATGTGGCGCCCAAGTCAAGCAATGAAGCTGGACATATTGAATTCTGCACCCTTAAGGTCTTTGGGCAATGCATGCTAAAATTTGCCCCAATGAGATCGAACAAAGTCTACAAAACTACCAAATTGGTCTGCACCCTGCAAAAATACTTGAGGTTCGAGTAAGCAGAACTGACAGAATGTTCTTTAGTCATACTGACTTATACGGCAGAACTGCGGAGTGGATTGGTAGTGCCCAGGTCACCCAGACACATGTGTTTGCCTGCTAAATTTTACCCCTGGACAAGCATAATAATGGCAGCCGCCCTCTACATCATTAGATTGCAGTGAACATGAAGCCAAAGAGTGCCACGAATCCATCATGTGCTGATGGAACTTCAACAGATCCACAATCTCAACAGGACTCCTCCAAAAGGACCAAATGCTGTCCACCTCAGCTGGTAGGTCAGATGAGGTTTAGAATCTACGCACAACTGAAGTTTCCACAATTTATCGCTGCCTGCAGTTCGTCTTCTGTGATCGCAAGTTTACAAAGTTTGGCAACATGACAACGTGCAGTTGGCCCAATATAGCAATGAATGGCAACAACAAATGCCCAATAGCAGGGCGTGCCAATCCTCCACGTCCCCATTGACTGCGGACCTGAAACCGTCCTGAAAAAACTGAAATTCCCAGGAATATCCATCCTGACAATGGCAACGACTGTAGCAAGCTGCCAGCCCGAGCAATTGCACACGTCAGCGCCAGTGGCTCATGTTTCCTGATGCATGCCTATGTTTGTCAGCATTCCTGCACCCTGAACATTTGGCATGCTGAGTATTCTGATCGTAACGGCAGATGTGTTGCATGCAAATGTCAGTTGACATTCAAAGTAACATTCCCGCGTGGGAAATGAGGGACAATCTTGTGTCCATGCACAAGCCATGCCCTGCCAGTCCCAACCAAGGCCACAATTCTTTAACTGCTGATGCCTCTTTCTGAGCGCAAGGCCCTTGTTTCTACCCCGCGCAGGCAACTGCAGCCACAAAGAAGCTCGCAAGGCCGGAGATGGCCCACCTATGAGCCTCACTGCTGGTCGCCTAATATCCGTCCTTGATCCCACGCCTGCTGATGAGCCGCCCGCCGCGCCGCTTACGATGCCTCTGCAGCGGAGTTGGAAACCGAAGGCGGCTGGTGGCAGCAGCGCGGCGGGCGCCGAGCCGAGGCGAATGAGGGAACACGACATCAGTGCGTCCGTGTCAATGTGTTTGGCGCTGTTGTGTGCAACAGTGGATACCAATACGACAATCGATACGTATCGCAGCGGATCCCTCGCAGTCTGCAAAAGCCCTCGAGCCGAGACCGAGACCGATGCCGAGAACGTGTTGCACGATGTTTCGCTGAGACCGCAGTCTTTTTAAAGGGTTTGGAGTGCGCTAAGTACTAAAATAGAAAGGCCGGCCAAGAGATGGGGAGGTCAATTGCATGACCAGGAGTCAACTGCGTAGTTGATCAAAAACATGCATTGTGGAGAATACTTGCATCAAAAAGCTCAACAGAAACAGCGCCCAAAGTAGCACGTTAGCTGGTGAGCAGCAGATATTCAATGTGCTTGTATAGAATGCTTTCAAGAAATCGGGACAGCAAAAATCTCAAAAAAATGGTAACTGGCAGATGCTGCAAATATGCGCAGCGTTGTTGTTTTGTCCGCATCAGGTATTTTGTGTCTGCAGAGAAAAGGGGATGCCATAATACACTTTACGTACGGTATGTTTGTGGTGATTAAATCGTATTGTGCATGGCTCCGCGCGTTGTATCAACAAGGTTAATTGCGAATGCCGCACAGCATCGCCACAGTCTCCAGAAATATTAATCAATGCCTTAATCTCTGACGGACATCACGACGCCCAAGCGCAATATTGCCAAAAAGGTTATAGTGGGGAAGCCGAATTTCAATGATTCTTTCCAAGTATTGCGGCTTTGTGCATTTTGCATGCGGTAGCAACTCTATCCGCCACCGCCATACCGGGTAACACCGTGCGTGTTGCTGCTCATGGGCAAGCTGGATTATGTCCGAATGCATTAATATTGTAAAAGGCGGGGCATGCGCACTGATTCAGATATGTGGAAAGTTTGGGATCCGACAGGGGGGGTGGCTATGATAAACTGTTGCTCAACGCTATAAGCCCAGATTCGGGCTAGACAATGTCCAGGAATGTGAAATAAGAAAAAAGCGGCCACGTTGCCGCCTCACAATGCAAGCCGTGCGAGCCGGTTGGTCTTCCGAACGTGGCATTCAGGCAGCCGTCGTCAGCTGGCCTGTGGAAGACCTGCGCAGGGGCCGCTGGAGGCAGCTCCTATACTAATGACTTCCGCCCTAAATCGGAACAAATTTGGGTCATTTTCGCATTTTCTAGTCTCAAAGACGTATTAAGGGAGCGGCGGACATTGGCTGACCCAGCCAGTTTCAAGTCTCCGACCCAGCAGAGGGTCCCACCGCCCACCCCGCCCAAGCCGCCCAAGCCTCCGCCCGTTCAGCTTCGCCCACGCCGCAGCCCCCCCACCACCTCAAGCGGACAGAGGCACGCCAATCGACAGCGCTGAGGAAGGCGACTTGTGAACGAGGCGCTGAGACGCCGCCGCGGCTCTGCTGCCACACCAAAGAATCGCCACACATGGTGGGGCGAAGCACGCGCGCCCCCGCCCACCAAAACGGGCGGCAGATACGGTTTGAAAGTCGAGTAGCGCGCGCCGGAAAGTGCAATGCGTGGCTGCGGGCGCGTGGCCGCCGCGGATTTTGGGCGGCACGGGTAGAGTTTGTGCGCTGCGCCCCACTCGCGACGCGCTGCGCACATTCGAGCCGCTATTGAGTGGCTTGTGTTGACACAACGTGCGCAACGCGTCTTCAGAGTCGCAGTGCGTGTGGCGAAGTGTGCGCAAAGTTTGGGTCTCGTTGAGGAGGAATTTCCCCCCCTTGAGCGCAAATTATTTCTTAAGCTCTGCGTGCCCATTTCCAGTACATGCACTCCTATTATCAGCCTCGCATTCTCGTCCACATTCAGATTTGGATCTTCCGGGCTCACGCGCGAATTGCCGGCTCTGTTCTCATACTCGCAAAACTTCCACTGCGTCCTGCAGTAATTGACAAACTTTGCCAATGCTTTCCTGCACGTTCCACATCTGTGCAAAATGGGACGTTTTTCTATTTGTGAATTTGCCCATGTACGGGCATTCAGGAGCGACTGCAGGCTCACTTAAACATAAGTGGCATGAATGTGGAAGATTTTCAGGAGAATACACAAAAGAGAAAGTTTTCATTTCCGTTTGGTCATATTTTGAAATTCAAATCAATAAAACAAGTGTCTTGCACCTCAGCTTGTTTCAATGTTTACTGTTAAGTTGAATTTTAAAACCGATTTCAATTACTTGGGATAGGTAATTTGAACCATGCAGCTCAATGTACAGTTGCCTCTCAACCCGCTAACGTTCATAAAGTTGGAATAAGTTGCATTAGATTGCATCTACCGTGTGTTCGCAGCAGCTTGCTACACCTAGCGGCGTCTTCATGCCATTCGCGACGCCCACTTGCACAAGTCATTCCTTTCTATACTGTAGCGCCATTTGCGTGCCCATGGAAATGTGCGAACATAGCCATATGCGTGACCGAAGTTGCCGTTTGGAAGCACCTGCGTTTAGGAAGCCATTTCCCTCATGCTTGGGAAGCGCGAGTGCTCCCTTCTCGCCAGGTCAGCAAACACCGAACTCATCAACTGCTGCAACTATGCTGGCGGCCGCCGCCAGCAGCTGCTCGTAGGTCAGCGGCACGGCTTCGCCACGCTTCCTGCCATGACCCCACTGGAATGCATGGCATTAAAGAAATCCTACAAAACACGCCTTAAAATGCGCATTTTCAAAGAATTTTCGTGCGATCGGTAGGTATCGTTTCGTAACTTCGTGGGGCTACGGAACAGGCATGGCTCTTCCTGATTGTGAAAACGCATGTGGGCGCAGCACTCAGCGTTCAATCCAAAAACCCATCAGTGTGAGCGCTCCATCCGGTATCGAAGATGCGCCGTTCACCCTTGCGCCGACGTACAGTACTTCCATGATAATGAAGTAGCGGGATTTTTGAGGACGCGGGCCGCGGTCTAGGTCCACAGGTGGTGATATGAACAGTGGTCGAAAAGACAAAATGTCGAACCACAATTCCAAAACTTGCACCGAGCCCAACAATTCCGACTTGGGCTCGCAGTCAAGGCGCTGCTGCTGAAAACGAGCAATCAACCGCCTATCCTCGTCAACGCACACAAGCACGCAACAAAACTTGGGGCACCTCGCGCTGCTCAAAGAAAGAGATTCAAGCCAGAACAAGCTGGTTGGACGCGCTGCACAAAGTCACATCGACGTCCTTGGTTCCACAACGTCAGGAAGCAATTGGCCTAACACCATCAAACTGAG